TTTCATCAATTTTACAAATTCTTTTTAGCATATATTGATGATAATTTTATTCCACAAATTTTAGATAACTTCTTTATTTTGTGGTTGTTATTTATTGATTAACTATTTGGTCTTCCAGCATAGCTTTTTAATTGGTCTATGGCAATGGTTCCCGATTAGTGGTACATGCATTCCTGGGGGTACGCGATATTGCATGAAGGGGTACACGCGGCAATCTAAAATTTAAATGCATGAGATGAAACAATAAAAAAAATAATGGGTGGACCATCAAAAATTCGGCAATTTACAACATGATATTGAATACACAAATTTGTTTATTTATAACTAAAAATATTCTCGAAATTTCATAAAAAAAAATGCATTTGTGACAATACCTAAATGAAATTCTTAAGCAAGAAACAAAAATTGTACAATTAACACAATTTGTGTTAATTGTACAATTATCATTATTATCATGTCAGTAAAGCGGCAATAAAATATTTACTACCATTTTTCACAACATACCTCTACAAGAGCAGATTTTTGGCCATAACAAACATGAAAACTAAACATCATCACCAACTTCAACTCTAAGATGACTCAAGACTGAAGCTGATCAAAAAGCAACCAGATTTTACAAAGTTGTGCAAAGAAAATCATGCACATTTGTTGCATTAAAATTAAATAACCTTATGTTATTTTCATTATTATTAGAATTATATTTTAAAAGTAATAAATGTAAAAAAACTTATTCTATTTATCACTAGCTGCCTATCCACGGCTTTGCCGCATTATATCGAATTTTCTCGTGGGAGTAAGATATTTTCTCGCAGTAAAATGTAGCCTATGTCCATCTCCAACATGTAAGCTATCTCTGTGCCAAATTTTATTAAAACCTGTTCAGCGGTTTAGAAGTGAAAAGGTAACAGACAGACGGCAGAATTACCTTCAAATTTATAATATTAGTATGGATTAATATGAATTTCTGCTATAAGGGGTACGCGAATTTGAGCTCTTTCTTGAAGTGGTACACAGGAAAAACTAATTGGGAACCACTGGTCTATGGTATAACGGGTAATTAGCCAATAACTTCAGTTTAAGTTTTTTCTTGCAAAAATGACTTTACTGATTAAGAATCTGTGGCATGATACCTTACTATATTGAAAAGTAACCTGCTCATTTTCAAGTTAATTCTCAACTGTTGGGATATGAAATGCTCAAAATATCAATGCAATGTCTCAAAATCAACAGGTTTATTTATATTACATAATGTTTCTGATTTTAGAGCTTATATAATGTCCAAATTGTAATTATTTGAAAATTTGATATGTAATGTTTCCATAATGTTTAATAAATATTTTGTCGTCTTTTTACTTATCCTAGACAAATGTCCTGTTATTTCTATTTTCAATAAGTATCTTAGATTTTTCATTAAATATTATTTTATCTCAGTTAATTTTGTTACTTTGCCCACTTCAAATATATTTTTTGTTTTTGTGATTGCAACTTGGTTTTAGCTCAAAAAAATTGAATTCTATTTCTTTGAGTTAGTTGTAAACAATTCTGTTAGAGAATTCTTCTCGAATGCATTCTCCACTCTGTTTGTAGGAGTTGAGTTTCATGTTTTTTTACAGATTTGTTTCAGATATTTAACTTGTCGTTTATTATTTGTTTTTGTATATTGTTATTATTATCGTAGCTTCTTGTCCTTTTTCTTTGTATTTTATTCTTATATAGCTATGTATTTTGGCTATTATTTTGGACTTATTACACTGTGTTTTCTTAGGAATCTTGACTTAGCTTTTTTCTCTGTAGTTTTTAGTAACTTTAAATTACAATATATACCTTTTAGGAGTTGGATGTACTGTACTGTACATGTAATGCTCCAACTGAAGAGGTTTTTTTCCCCCTCTTCAGTTAGAGCATTACATTTAAATAATAATTTAAAAGATTTTATAACGAGAAAATAAATTTTTCTTCATTTTTAAAAATATAATCTTGTAAATCAGCAATTTGTTAATTTTTCTTTTAATTTCACACAAAAATTATAATATATATTATAATTTTTACAAAATACAAAATAACAAAAAGTGTAATATATATATATATATATAATAATAATAATNATAACTTTAATTAAAACAATAATAATTTTTTTATAGAATGACATATTTCATTATTTATAATTTTAACAAAAATTTATTTCTTCAGATGGATCTATGTAAATTTGACTATTTAATTAAAAAATTTAACAAAATGAAAGTAATTATACATAAAAACATTAAAGATAATTTCTGCAACAATCTACTTTCTTAAAAAAGAGATGGTTCACTTATAAAATTTAAATAATAAAAAAAACTATGCTCATATTCTATATTAAAAAACATGAATAAAATAACATGAATATTTTTCATATTATTTTTCAACATAATAAAAATGTATGTATTGAAATCAAGATTTTGCAATCTGTTTTAGCAAGTGAATATTTAAATGTACAGGTACAATATAAATCCCAATTTACAGTCAAGAATCTGATCCCAAGAAAGCGAATCTTCAAAATATAAAAATATATTCCAGTACTATTTCAAAATAATTTTTTAATTAACACAATTTGGTATTTATAAATAATATATAAATTAAAAAAAACTGAATTTATTTGAATAATAGCTAATAATAAAACTATAGATTATAACAAATATTAAAAAATTTTCCTTTACTAATGATATGGCAAAGCTCTTATTTTTTTCTTCTTAAATTTGTAAATTTTTATGTTATTTCAGGATTTTGTTTTCTGTAATAATAATTGTAAATTATATAGTAAATTAAACAATTATATTTCCATTATTCACTAATCAAATTCTAAGAGGAGCACATTTAATTGAAAATGCATACAAATAAATTATTGATTAGATAAAGCTTTTAAACACTTTATACAGTTAATGAGGTATTTCAAATAAAATTTTAAAAAAATGTCTTTTGCTAAATATTAAAATTTCATTTATAATTAATATCTGTATGATTTTATTAACTATAACTACACAATATTCATATATATATATATATACTTTTATATATAGAACTATTATTATAGCTTCTACTAGATAAACTATTCCACTGTTAATAAATATTCATTTATATCATAAGTCATACACAATAATTAGACAACCAACATTAAGTGAGCATATTTCCACTTGTTGGCACTATTAGATGTAGGAATAAATAATACGGCAGTTTCTAAGTTGATACCTTGGTGATTTTTTTCGGTTCGGTAGTTCCAGTTTCAAGAACTTCAACTTTTTGATAAACATTGGGTGATATGACCCATCTCATTTTATCTTGTGTTTTTCTTCCTTCCATGAGTTTTCTTAGAGGACTATAAAAACATATATAGACATACATGTAAATTTTATAAAATTTATTAAATATATTTGAAATATGAAGTAATGTTAACTATTTATAGATATGTTCAAATACAGTAATATCCCAAACTTACGCGATAGGTGGGACCGAGCGATAACCGTGTAAGTCGGGGTATAATTTCGCAATTTGTGTAAAATCCAAGTTGGATGTATGTATGCTAATAAATGTTCTCGTTAATCTTATCTCGTCTTTTGATTCGTTCACAGTTGCAAGAAATCACCACATAGAGTCTCTCAAGTCTCCACAGATATAACAAACATAGAAATAAATAACACAAAATAAATTGTAGCTGTGTGTCGATTCCGCGCGACACGTCCGAACATGTAAGCTGAACAATAGTGTATGGGGAGTGAGTAATCAAGAGTTGTGTGGCACTCAAACAAAAGACGAATCAACGAGATTTGAAAATCGCGTAACTCTGGGTTCGCGTAAGTCGGGGTAGCGTAAGTCGAGGTATTACAGTATCTTTAAAACAGATTTTAAAATAAAATTAAAACTATTATTCTTTGCAGTTAACAAAAAAATGTATTAAAAATATCATCATTTATAGTTATTAATTAAATAAATAATTTTCACTTTTTGTACAATCTTTGGCAAAAAAGTTTTAATCGTGAATTCAAAGTTTCTATATAATATAACTAGTTATTTGCTTAGAAGATACTGGCATTATTTATATAAAATCATGTAGAATCATTTATTGATATCATTTACTATTATTATATATATATATATATATTACACTTTTTGTTATTTTGTATTTTGTAAAAATTATAATATATATTATAATTTTTACAAAATACAAAATAACAAAAAGTGTAATATATATATATATATATAATAATAGTAAATGATATCAATAAATGATTCTACATGATTTTATATAAATAATGCCAGTATCTTCTAAGCAAATAACTAGTTATATTATCTAGAAACTTTGAATTCACGATTAAAACTTTTTTGCCAAAGATTGTACAAAAAGTGAAAATTATTTATTTAATTAATAACTATAAATGATGATATTTTTAATACATTTTTTTGTTAACTGCAAAGAATAATAGTTTTAATTTTATTTTAAAATCTGTTTTAAAGATACTGTAATACCTCGACTTACGCTACCCCGACTTACGCGAACCCAGAGTTACGCGATTTTCAAATCTCGTTGATTCGTCTTTTGTTTGAGTGCCACACAACTCTTGATTACTCACTCCCCATACACTATTGTTCAGCTTACATGTTCGGACGTGTCGCGCGGAATCGACACACAGCTACAATTTATTTTGTGTTATTTATTTCTATGTTTGTTATATCTGTGGAGACTTGAGAGACTCTATGTGGTGATTTCTTGCAACTGTGAACGAATCAAAAGACGAGATAAGATTAACGAGAACATTTATTAGCATACATACATCCAACTTGGATTTTACACAAATTGCGAAATTATACCCCGACTTACACGGTTATCGCTCGGTCCCACCTATCGCGTAAGTTTGGGATATTACTGTATTTGAACATATCTATAAATAGTTAACATTACTTCATATTTCAAATATATTTAATAAATTTTATAAAATTTACATGTATGTCTATATATGTTTTTATAGTCCTCTAAGAAAACTCATGGAAGGAAGAAAAACACAAGATAAAATGAGATGGGTCATATCACCCAATGTTTATCAAAAAGTTGAAGTTCTTGAAACTGGAACTACCGAACCGAAAAAAATCACCAAGGTATCAACTTAGAAACTGCCGTATTATTTATTCCTACATCTAATAGTGCCAACAAGTGGAAATATGCTCACTTAATGTTGGTTGTCTAATTATTGTGTATGACTTATGATATAAATGAATATTTATTAACAGTGGAATAGTTTATCTAGTAGAAGCTATAATAATAGTTCTATATATAAAAGTATATATATATATATATGAATATTGTGTAGTTATAGTTAATAAAATCATACAGATATTAATTATAAATGAAATTTTAATATTTAGCAAAAGACATTTTTTTAAAATTTTATTTGAAATACCTCATTAACTGTATAAAGTGTTTAAAAGCTTTATCTAATCAATAATTTATTTGTATGCATTTTCAATTAAATGTGCTCCTCTTAGAATTTGATTAGTGAATAATGGAAATATAATTGTTTAATTTACTATATAATTTACAATTATTATTACAGAAAACAAAATCCTGAAATAACATAAAAATTTACAAATTTAAGAAGAAAAAAATAAGAGCTTTGCCATATCATTAGTAAAGGAAAATTTTTTAATATTTGTTATAATCTATAGTTTTATTATTAGCTATTATTCAAATAAATTCAGTTTTTTTTAATTTATATATTATTTATAAATACCAAATTGTGTTAATTAAAAAATTATTTTGAAATAGTACTGGAATATATTTTTATATTTTGAAGATTCGCTTTCTTGGGATCAGATTCTTGACTGTAAATTGGGATTTATATTGTACCTGTACATTTAAATATTCACTTGCTAAAACAGATTGCAAAATCTTGATTTCAATACATACATTTTTATTATGTTGAAAAATAATATGAAAAATATTCATGTTATTTTATTCATGTTTTTTAATATAGAATATGAGCATAGTTTTTTTTATTATTTAAATTTTATAAGTGAACCATCTCTTTTTTAAGAAAGTAGATTGTTGCAGAAATTATCTTTAATGTTTTTATGTATAATTACTTTCATTTTGTTAAATTTTTTAATTAAATAGTCAAATTTACATAGATCCATCTGAAGAAATAAATTTTTGTTAAAATTATAAATAATGAAATATGTCATTCTATAAAAAAATTATTATTGTTTTAATTAAAGTTATTTTAAAAGATAAAAATGATTAAGATTAATTAAATATTGAAATCATTTTTAATTTTTTTATTGTTTGTTTAATTTGATTATATTAAAAAAAAACATTTTTTTCAATTAGTAATAGATTTCTTTGTTAATTATTATTATACCTTTAGGTTTATTTTTTTTATAATTATGTAAAGATTTCTTTTTTAAATGTTTTTTTACAAGATATATTAAAGATACTATATATAATATTTATATTCAAACGAACAGTTTTATATAAATTAATAGTCCTTCTTTTAAACATCATATGTATTATAAAATGAAAACAAACAGCAGTGTTAACTTATAAAATAATTTCAAATTAATTATATTGTCTTTTATTATAATTTAAATATTGGCTATATGAAAACAGTTAATAGTTTATTTACAGTTATAAATTAACTGTATTTGTATCAGTCCTAAAGGTAATTAAAATAAATTCTTATTTTTCTGTTTCTGTCTTTTTAGCTATATTAACAAAGTAGCAAATTGTAAATTTTATTTTAAAATCTGTTGTTGTTACCTAGTAATGTTTCTAAAATTTTATTTGTATTTTTAATATGGTATGGATTTTGTTTAAATGTTGTATTAATGTATAAATAATCTTTTAATAGCTTTTAGGCTCATTCATAGATTGTTGAATCTTAGGTCGTCATGTTTTATATTTAATTTCTCTATATCCAAACAAATTTTTATCTAAATGTTTAGAATATATTGTCCAAATTGCATCTCTTAAGTTTTCAAAGTTATCCCATTTCACTTATAGTTATTTTTTCTTATCAGTTGTGTTTTAAGAAGAAATTATTTATTTTTCTACATTATTTACATATCAGCTTGTTATGTAAATATAATAAAATAAATTTTTTATAAATAGTTTTAGCATGTAATATAGTTCATATCACTCAATGCATTTTATATAAAAATGCCTTTACTTCTTTACACTTATAAAAGAATTTTTATTTTAGGAAAATAATTTCTGTATATTATTTAAAAATATGCTCAAAATAAAATTCAAAAATTTTAAATATATATAAAATTAAAAAAATATATATTTTTTTACTTTA